TGAGGATGGGCAAGGTTTAATGTTAGGCTTAGGCAGGCGTCTAAGACGTCTCATAGGCCGTCCGTCACCCTCTCGCACTAGTGGACTTGAGGCTGCACACAGGCCGCAGGCAACCATAAGGCTTCAGATAATGAAACTAAAAGACCCACTGCCACGACAAGAAATATCTGGAGTCATCTGTAGGATCTGGTGCATTTACCTACAAAGCAACTACGTCGGAGAAACTGGGAGATGACTCAAGGCGCGAACTGCCGAACATGCGACAACAGTGCGGATAGATGATGTCAATTCTCAACTTGCGACGCATTTGACGAGACCCGGCCGCACTTTAAAATTTGATGAGGCCGAAATTCTCACGAGAGTTGACAATCGTGCGAGTAACGCGAGTTGCCTGTGCCACAGTTCGCGGGCCCCCAGTCTATAAACAAGTGCAATGGCCTGCCCAACCAATATTCGGTGTTGAGGCTCAGTTTGGCCAAAGCAATTCGCCGTTTGGGGAGCGCACAGGCGAGCGCGTCGTCTAATGCCTGCGACAGTTGATTGCTGACAGTTAATTGGCGTATGCTTACTATATTTACCCCATTTTTGGTTGCTGCGCCTTACTTCTGAAGATAGACTCCTGTAAGAGTTCGACAGCTGAAGACAATAAACAAATTGATCCGGGGCTCGGTAACACTTCTTCCTTATCCAAGCTGAACAACTACCACGCCCAAGTCCAGCACAAATGATGAAAGTTCAGCAGATCACGAGCCGCATGTCGATTATCAAGCAATTGGCGCGCAAGCGGGCAAATATCCTCGATAGGGGTAGCCGTTGATTAACAAAAGTAAGCAGTAGCATAGCGACTGTATCTTCTAAATACTACAACTCCATGTGTACGAATTATCCTTTTATGCTATTGGCTCTGATGATGGATGCACGACGGATTTCGACACGTCGGGTGAGCAAAATTCTTATCCCAGCGATTACATTTGTTTCTTCAAAATTACTTTCTGGGACTGGCATTTTCGCTTATATTGGCAAATGAACATTACCGACAAAGACAGGGAAAACTTGAATGGCTACTTCTGGCTCATTAGCCGTTATCAGCTAGTCATAACCCAGCCGCAGGCGGTTCTCCATTCGAATCTCAAACCTATGGCCTGTTGATTAGAAATACAACGCTCTAACCCATTGACATCGAGTGGTGCGCCACCTGGGGTTGAGTTATAACTGGCTAATAGACCAGAAATGGCCATTCAGGTCTCCCTTGTCTTTGTTGATAATGATCATCTGACTATAAGTTTAGGTGCTGTGTGGTTGCTGGCGGGACTCGAGATTGATCCCCGCGGCCGATCGGTGGGCTTCTATACGCTTCAGTTGAGTTATGGGTTATAAGACAGGACGTCTACCTGTATTCCTTGAAAAGGTCCATAATTCCAGACCTTGCGACTTTTTATCAAAAGAATGTGTAGTAACAGTCAGAGCCTCTGATTAATACGAGTTCTCTAGATTCTTGCCGCGCGTTCTTATCCTAACTTAGTCACCTTTGTATTTTTCTTAAACAAGTACTATCGGTGTTATAAAGCATACTTTAAATGGTCCCATAACGATCCACGGCAAGATAATGGAGGTCAACAATTAAACTGCTTCGGTCACCATGAGAGCATTTTTACTGTTCACAAAGGCTCCAGTTCTTTCTAACATTTTTGCCCAGCGAGAAGGTCTTCATTTATGGGCAGGTCCAGTCTACCAGTCAGTTCAGTGCATTTAGCGGTTTTTAAATGT